ACTAAAACTTTATCTAAAATTAAAATAAAACAAACTAAAAACAAATTGAAAATATGAATAAAAACTATAATAATACATTAATGATATTTAAAAAATCGTAAGCGTCAGTAAATATAAGGACAGGATATGGATTATAAAGAAATATCGGTAACACTTTATTTTAGGGTCTCTTAACTAGTTGCTTATTAGCATGCATATTACTAGAATATTAGCCATTTATTAGTACTAATTAAGCACATATTAATGCCTTATTCTACATGACCTTATTCTACATCCCTAATTGAACAACTACCTTACTAACTATTAATAAGCAGCAAATTAGGAATTTATTGAGGGAAAAGTCGTAGTTAATAGTGAATAAGTGTTCCCTATTCTAAAGTGTTACCGAAATATCACATCCTCAGATGAATGAATGATGAATCGTGCACACCACAATCCAAACTAGAGCAGCAATGAGAGTTCATGATGTAGTTCCGCGTGAGTTTGTGTTGCATGTGTCTAAATCAGACACTGGTCCGTCAGAGCGTTTAAAGCCAACAATCTTTTCCTGCCGTCCAGGGGTTAAATTGGGATTTGTTATGTGGGGGGGCTCTATGGTATCGAGTTTAATTTCAAATTCTTACATTTGATCTGAAAAATACAACTGCATTAAATAATATTATGATATTATTTTAAATATTTTTGAATATACAAACAAGAAATTATGGCGGAAATGATACTTTTCAACTAAATTAAAATGCCAGTTGGTGCCAGTAGTGAGTGTTTAATGAGTGAGTCATTGAGTCATTGACTCAAACGATTCGTTCAAACGGCAGATGTTTATGCATGTGCTAATGAAACTTTGACTCAACCGATTCGTTCAAAACACGGAATCAAGCAGCAATGAATCGGCTGGTTGCTATGAGATGCGCTGTGTTTCCGCCTAAAATGTATGTGACATAATATCATTGTATTTGCATTGTAACTGTTTATAGAACTATTAAACAGTCGTGATGGTGAAAACGTTGTGTGATGTTACCTAACTAACTGTATTGTAAATATAAAAACTTTCCATTTTGAATTTTTACCTCAGGATGCTGAGTTTCTTAGTGTTGCGCGTTTTGATTTCTCCTGGAGAGACTGTGTGAGCTTCGCCTCAGCAACAGATGCATAACCCAATAATCCTTTAGATATCAAAACAGCTGAGCTGCCTAATATTTTTACCGCAACCAAAATGTATTTCAGGATGAGAGTTAGAAAGAACAACATTTATTTGAAATAGTAACATTATAAATGTCGCTACTGTAACTTTTGATCAATTGAATGCATCCTTGAACAGTGTCAATTATTTACTTCTGTCAGTGAAACTCTGGAGAGGCTGCGCGAGCCTCGCCTCAGCAGCGCAACCTTATTCTGTCAGTAGATGCATTATATACAGTAGCTACATCCACTATTCACCTCTTACTCTAAATGTAATAAAATCAGAATAATACTTACGTTTTGGTGTTTACATAGTTATTTTTGGTTACTGATGTTTTAATCATGTTACTTGTCTGGCGTTAATGAAGCGTTAATGTCGAGCCCTGGAGTCTATGTGCCGGGGCTCAGCCCCAGACGACCCCGGCCCAATTTAAACCCTGCTGCCGTCGTCCCGATGTGAACGTCGCTGCTAACAGCGGCTCGATTGATGAGTGAGTGTTTCATACGGCTGTCTGATGTTATAACTGGAGCTCAAAGCTCTGGATAACAACAGACAGCACAGGGATTTCCATGCAATAAACACACTAATTGTTTGCCACGGATCTGAAGGTCAGGCATTCTCAATATCGCAGTGACCTTTCCCAAACCGTGTTAAAAGTTTCTTCTGCTCTTGTGCTCCGCAGGTGTACGAGCAGGACGATCTGAGCGAGCAGATGGCCAGTCTGGAAGGTCTGATGAAGCAGCTCAACGCCATCACGGGTTCGGCTTTTTAACGCAGGCGCAGACGAGCGAACGCCTGGAACGAGGAAGTGGCATTCACCTTCCTCTGCGATCCACCTGAAGCCCTCAGACGGGATTAAAAAGGGAAAATGACTCTAGAGAGGAAGCGTCTCTTTTCTAACACTGTCTGAGACTTTATACTGGTTTCTGTACACGGCCGAGTGAATCCATCCCGCTGAACGCAGATCCATCCGGGAGGAAGACTCCTGAGCTTCATCTACTAATGGAAACCTTTCTCCGATGGGATTATTATTGATTCATCTCAAACCCCGACTGATCGGAGTTGCCAAAACACAAACCCTCTTACTTCTCATAGACATCTTGCCAATCTATTGCTGCCAAAATCCCTGAAATACACTTTACTAGGGAACTGTGTATTCATAGTAGAAGGAGGTCGGATGCCGGATCGGCGTGGATGAAAAAACCCGATCATTTTGCTCACGCAGCACTGATTTAGTTGCAGATTTTCATCTTGTTTGTCGTCGCCTGTCTTTGTGAATCTCTTTACTACACAAACGTCATATCGGTTTATTATTTCACAGCAGTGAAGCTGTAAATCCCTGCGGTGTGCTCTTCGTTTCACATTGTGTGTTTCATACGACCCACTGCCAAAAATGATTTTCTTCCTCCGTATTTCCGTCTTGTTTTCCGGTAGAAATATCTAAATGTTCTTAAATCAAGATGCATTTACTTGAGACGCAAAATGGCATGAGATAACAAGTCTTAGTTTCTGTAAAAGGTATAAAAAGGAAGTAAATATACACTTTGGGAGGAAAAGAAACTTTTCACTTTAAATTAGGTTTATTTTTATGAACCCGTCGGCAGATATTTTTTCTGGTTTTAAGCATAAATTCACTTAATTTGTATACATTTTTCAGAAAACAAGACTTTATTTTGTTTCTCCAGTAAATCTACCATATGCCAAAATCAAATACATTTTTCAATATATTGCAAAAACAATTTTTTTTTAAATGTTATTAAAAATGTAGGCTACTGTAAGATTCGAAATGTATTTTCTTGCCAATGAAATATATTTTGGTATCTGAAGGTTGAAACTAAATATATTTTCAATTTCAAAACTATACTTCGTTTAACTTTATTGTTTACAACATATTTTTAAAATATATTTTGGCCAGAATTTTTTTTTCTTCTTCTTCTTTGATTTTGGAATGTTGAGATATTTGTACTGGAAAGCAAGACCAAAATACTAAAGAAGAATATATTTTCTTGCTGCAACAGTGATCAGTCAGTCGGCGGAGGGTGAAAAAGGACGACAAACACGGCAGATGAGAGAATTAATCTGTCAAATAATATTAATGTGACAGCTTTGAGACGACACACCATCAGCTTTTCCATTCTTCTCTTTCGTGTTTGCGTTTGAAACCGTTTTATGTCAGAAATCACAAACAAGATTTTTATGTGCCTATATATATTTTCGTTCACTTTTTGGTCACTTTATTTATTTGCTGTGTTGCGAGACAAAAGGAGGAGGATGAAATGTGTCCCTATATTTGATATTTTTCTGGTGCCATTCAGATCCATGTGCAGCGAGCGATTGATGGACTAATCGCTGTGGCGTCATGGACTCGGCGTTGGGTTTCTACGATATATTTAATGTATGATTTAGATTGTTTCTTTAACGGTAATTTATGGAGACGATGTGATGAATTCTAGAGCTTTTATTTAGCCCATTATGAGAAATTCTGGGACGGATTTTCACTGTGCTTTTGAACGAAGATATTTAGCTTCAGCATCATAACACACATTCAGCTGCCTGATGTTTTTTTTGTGTGTCACGTTAAATGTGATCGACAACATTCCTGAGATCTCGAGACGTTTGGATTCTCCCATGATGTTCCGTCTGAAATCCAGCTGCATTTTTATTTCAGAAACATAGAGTTTGTGTCTCTCATTCCCTCACAGTCTGTTCATCTTTCTCACAGTGAAGAATCACAATTCCTGCTTTAATGGAAAAGTTCACATGAAAATAATGTCGTTCCAAACCTTGAAGAACTAAAGGAGAATCTTCTCGCAGCAGACTCGTCAGCTCAGAGCAGAAAGCACCACTGTTTCTGCCACGGGATAAAAAAAAACACAATTGCGTCTTTGTAATATCTCAATTCTGACTTTACATCTCACAATTCTGACTTTTGTCTCACAGTTTTCAGAATTGCAAGATATAAACTCAAAATTGTGAAAAAGAAGTAAGAAAAGAGAAGTCGTCTGAACTGGCGAGAGCAAAAGGTGTGACGAACAGAATTGCAAGAAAAAAAGTCAAAAATTTCATATATTGCTATTCTGTCTTTATTTTTTGCAGTTGCAAGATATAAAGTCAGAATTTTTATATAAAGTCAGAATTGCAAGATATAAACTTGAAAACTGTGGGGAAAAAAGTCAGAAAACTCACTTTTGGGGGAAAAAAGGTCATAAGTGTCACATAACAAGTCACAATTAACATTTCGTGGCAGGAAAAGAAAATTATTAAGATGGCAAGAAATTAAATCAGAATAGCAAGAAAAAAGTTTATATCTTGCTATTCTGACTTTATTTCTCAGAATTGTGTTTATTTCTCACAATTCGGAGTTAATGTCTTACTATTGGGACTTTTCCTCATAATTGCAAGTCAGAATTCTGAATTCTACACTGTAAAAAAAAAAATAGTTGAGAAAACTTAAAATAATAAGGCAACATGATGCAGTAAGACATTTGAGTTCTCTCAACAATAGTTTTTTAGTTCTGCTCAGTAAAGATACTTTGTTTAGTCAATGTAAATTTGTTTGTTCATGCAATGCTGATAGTCTTATTTTGCTAATAGAAAAATTCTTGTCACAGCAACTGAAAAAACAATTACTCATTGTTGTTGCGGTAATTAATTTTTTTCTGTTGCCTGGATGAAAAAAAATGTGTAAAAGTCATCACATTATCAAGGTTATGTTTGCTTACGAATTACAAATGTTAATGGGCAACTTAGTCTAATAAGTAGACAACATTGTCTATGGTTGTAAAACAACTTACAAGACTAAAGATTAGAGAAGATCTAGGCCTCAAAACTAGACACACTGACCTCAAGAATGGTGACAACCAACAAATGTTAAAAAGATGAGCTCTTTACATCACAGTACAAAAAATAACTAACAATAATGACAAAACAACTACAAAAAAGTTTGTGAAGTCAGAAAACATCCTATAACACATAATTTATTCATGCTGCAATGCATGCTGGGAACTCACAAAGCCTTAACATTTCAACAATCAACAATTCTTTGTTCAGACAACTGTGTTTGACTAGTTGGACAACATTTGGTGTTGATCTAACATGGGTTTTTGTGTAGTTTCAAGTAGTTCACATTTCTCACTACTTGCGATTCAAAATAGTAGTAATAATATTAATAATAAAAATAACAACTAGAGTTTCCCAAACTGGGGTCTGTAAGTTGATGAAAAAAGCTAATAATTAATTATTTCGTGAATTTGTGAATTGATTGAAAGCTAATAATAATTAAATTACAAAAGTGTAAAATTAAAATAAAACAAACTAAAAACAAATTGAAAATATGAATAAAAACTATAATAATACATTAATGATATTTAAAAAATCGTAAGCGTCAGTAAATATAAGGACAGGATATGGATTATAAAGAAATATCGGTAACACTTTATTTTAGGGTCTCTTAACTAGTTGCTTATTAGCATGCATATTACTAGAATATTAGCCATTTATTAGTACTAATTAAGCACATATTAATGCCTTATTCTACATGACCTTATTCTACATCCCTAATTGAACAACTACCTTACTAACTATTAATAAGCAGCAAATTAGGAATTTATTGAGGGAAAAGTCGTAGTTAATAGTGAATAAGTGTTCCCTATTCTAAAGTGTTACCGAAATATCACATCCTCAGATGAATGAATGATGAATCGTGCACACCACAATCCAAACTAGAGCAGCAATGAGAGTTCATGATGTAGTTCCGCGTGAGTTTGTGTTGCATGTGTCTAAATCAGACACTGGTCCGTCAGAGCGTTTAAAGCCAACAATCTTTTCCTGCCGTCCAGGGGTTAAATTGGGATTTGTTATGTGGGGGGGCTCTATGGTATCGAGTTTAATTTCAAATTCTTACATTTGATCTGAAAAATACAACTGCATTAAATAATATTATGATATTATTTTAAATATTTTTGAATATACAAACAAGAAATTATGGCGGAAATGATACTTTTCAACTAAATTAAAATGCCAGTTGGTGCCAGTAGTGAGTGTTTAATGAGTGAGTCATTGAGTCATTGACTCAAACGATTCGTTCAAACGGCAGATGTTTATGCATGTGCTAATGAAACTTTGACTCAACCGATTCGTTCAAAACACGGAATCAAGCAGCAATGAATCGGCTGGTTGCTATGAGATGCGCTGTGTTTCCGCCTAAAATGTATGTGACATAATATCATTGTATTTGCATTGTAACTGTTTATAGAACTATTAAACAGTCGTGATGGTGAAAACGTTGTGTGATGTTACCTAACTAACTGTATTGTAAATATAAAAACTTTCCATTTTGAATTTTTACCTCAGGATGCTGAGTTTCTTAGTGTTGCGCGTTTTGATTTCTCCTGGAGAGGCTGCGCGAGCCTCGCCTCAGCAGCGCAACCTTATTCTGTCAGTAGATGCATTATATACAGTAGCTACATCCACTATTCACCTCTTACTCTAAATGTAATAAAATCAGAATAATACTTACGTTTTGGTGTTTACATAGTTATTTTTGGTTACTGATGTTTTAATCATGTTACTTGTCTGGCGTTAATGAAGCGTTAATGTCGAGCCCTGGAGTCTATGTGCCGGGGCTCAGCCCCAGACGACCCCGGCCCAATTTAAACCCTGCTGCCGTCGTCCCGATGTGAACGTCGCTGCTAACAGCGGCTCGATTGATGAGTGAGTGTTTCATACGGCTGTCTGATGTTATAACTGGAGCTCAAAGCTCTGGATAACAACAGACAGCACAGGGATTTCCATGCAATAAACACACTAATTGTTTGCCA